GGGCGGACAGACGGACATGCATAAATCGACTCAGAAAGTGATTCTATGCCTATTCTCAAAAGGAACCATGGGTCTATCTCGATTCCTTTTGCCTGTTACAAACATATGCACAAAGACATTATACCTTGTACCACAGTGCGGTGAAGGGTATAATTATAGACCAATATTTTTTGTATAGAAAATAAGTCTCGTATCCCAAATTCTTCAGTTTTTTCTGTAGAAGAGCTGAAGAAACCAGCTTCTGCTATAGTAGAGCAAAAGAGCTCAGATTCTTCTATAGAAAAGTGAAAGATCTCAACTTCTACTATAGAAGAGGTGAACAGCTCTGCTTCTTCTGTTGAAGAGTGGGGACTCTGTGTAGAAAACGCCACTAAAATGGATGCAGCATGGAGACCCACATCAATTGAAAGGTCTCGAAATGTAATTTCAGAATATATACACCTTATGGCGAAGAACAAACTTTGCTTAACGGATTTTCTCGATTTTCCTTGCAAGTCTCGGTGACAGTGGGGACTCTGGGTAGAAAACGCCATATTGCGCAAAAACTAAAATGGATGCAGTATGGAGACCCACATCAATTTAAAGGTCTCGAAATGTACTTTCAGAATTTATACACCTTATGCCGAAAAACCAACTCTCTGGCATTCTTAGAGAATTTCTTGAGACTAAATTGCCTGCACAAAGAAAAAATGGTCGGATATTAACCTGAAAACTCGAAGATCTTTTCTATCAAAGGGACAACTTTTTCTATAGGAGAGCTGATGTAGTCGTCTTGTAGGAAAAAATGTTTAACACTCTGACTGTCTCCTTATTTTTTCCACCTTCTATCTGGTCCATCCTTCAAAATCTGGATATTAACAGCAATTATTTCCTATAAAATATTCATTCAAAATTTTATTGCAAACTATGGCATATTTAAACATTAAAGACAACTTCAATAATCCATACGTAGGATACTTTTAGTAACACCATTCAACTTTTAATTTATAATTTATTGTAAAATTACTGTTCAAAGAAAATTTAAATCAAAACTTAACATGCCCATCTCTCTTCTCAATCTGATGGTATTAAATTCTCATGTTTTTACTCGTCTTTAATAAATTCCCTTGCAATGGAAAAAAGAGAAAGGAAAATTAATTGAAAATTTATTAAAAATGTTCAACAGAAACTGGTAAAACAATAGCAACACATACACCCACACAAACACACATGCAGAGGAATCCAAAAAAGGAGGCTAAAAGGAGAAGAACAACAACAAGTCTTTTGTGCAGCGAAGTGTTGAGGGAGGATGTGAAATAAGATAAATTACTTTAACATATAAACACCTTTTTATACCTAACACATACAACAACAACAAACAAGACAATAACTCCATGTACCCAAACAAGAACAAGAATACCAAGAACAACAACACAAAAACGCTACCAATATTAACAACAAATTTTTTGTTAAAATACAACCAACCATCCTTCCCAACATATCCTTTCTCCAGGACTAACACCAAACAACCAGCCAACCAACCAAAAATATATAAATGTGTTAGGGGTAACGGAACATAACATCAGACATTTGTCTGCTGCCAGGATACAACAGATGAAGGAGACTAAGGCAAAACAGCTTCGAAAGATGATACTTGATAGGTGAGGGGTGATGGTAGGGGGTGGAGGTAAATATTTGTATGGTTGTTTGTTCGTTAAGCGAACAATGTGAAAAACATTAGCTTAAATGTTCTTTACCATTACTACCACTAGTTGTGTGCCCACTATTGTGGTTTATCCTTATTCCGCATACATTGAGGGTGTAGACTTGATGTGTACTTGTTGTTTTTGTTATGTAGGAAGAAAAAACCACAATACAACAAAAATACGTAAATACATCCTTTTGTCTAAGTCATGAGTGTGCGAGAAAATATATTTAAAATAATAATTTATTAACGAGGATCGTGGGGGAAATTCAAACGAAATCAGGGGAGAGTTTTTTCTTTCTATAAAAAATGTGGAGAACTTTCTTCAATTGAAGAAGAGCTTAAGCGGTCAGCTTCTTCTATAGAAGAGTTTAGTTTCTACTATAGAAAAGCTGAAGGTCTCAGTTTTTTCTGTTGAAGAGCTGAAGGCCACAGCTTGAAAAGAGGACACAGCTTCTTCTATAGAGGAGTTGAAAGGCTAAGCTCCTGAGCTGAACTGCTCAGCTTCTTTTATAGGATAGCTGAATGTCTCAGCTACTTTTATGGAAGATCTAAAGGGCTGCAGCGGTCAGCTTCTTCTATAGAGGAGCTGAACTGCTCAGCTTCTTCCATAGAAGAGCTGAAGGGCTCAGCTTCTTCCGTAGTAGAGGTGAAGGGCTCAGCTTCTTCCATAGAAGAGCTGAAGGGCTCAGCTTCTTCCATAGTAGAGGTGAAGGGCTCAGCTTCTTCTATAGAAGAGCTGAGGGATCAGCTTCTTCTACAGAAGAGCTGAGGGATCAGCTTCTTCTATAGAAAAGCTGAAGGGCTCAGCTTCTTCCATAGAAGAGCTGAAGGGCTCAGCTTCTTCCATAGTAGAGCTTCTTTCATAAAAAAACTGAAGGCCTCAGCTTCTTCCATAGAAGAGCTGAGGGATCAGCTTCTTCTACAGAAGAGCTGAGGGATCAGCTTCTTCTACAGAAGAGCTGAGGGCTCAGCTTCTTCCATAGAAGAGCTGAAGGGCTCAGCTTCTTCCATAGAAGAGCTGAAGGGCTCAGCTTCTTCCATAGAAGAGCTGAAGGGCTCAGCTTCTTCCATAGAAGAGCTGAAGGGCTCAGCTTCTTCCATAGAAGAGCTGAAGGGCTCAGCTTCTTCCATAGAGGAGCTGAAGGGCTCAGCTTCTTCCATAGAGGAGCTGAAGTGGTCAGGTTCTTTATAGAAGAACTGAAGGGCTCAGCTTCTTCTATAGAAGAGCTGAAGGCTCCTCTATTCATTTATTGAAACATCATTCAGACTGTCTGAGCCTTCAGCAGGCTATACAGGCCCCATTCAGTACTGTCTGATTCTCTATGGGTACTGTCTAAGTTTTTAGCTCGCCTATAGAGACACGCTTCAGGACAGCCTGAGCCTCAATGTATAGATACTGTCTGAGACTTCAGTTGGTCCATGGTGGTTCCATTTAGGGCTGTGTGAACATTTTAGTCCTCCATAGCGACTGTGTGAGTCTTCTAATGGCCTATAGAGGCTCCATTCGCCTATACAAATTGTTTGAGCCTTAAGCTAATTTTTTGAAAATATTTGAGGCTTCAACTCGCCTATGTAGACTGTGAGGCCTAAACCCGCCCATTTGGGACTGTCTGAGCCTCGTCTATTGAGACTATATGAGACTCAAGGTTATCAATAGAGCCCTGAGTTCGTTTAGTTTCGCCAAAGCCTTTAGCTCATCTACACTTCGCATACAGAGACTTCCTTCAGGACAGCCAAGCCTTTCAGGCCGTTTGAAGGCTCTGAGGTCTACTCTAAGAACCTTCTGCCTCAGAACCTGCTCTTCCCGCTTATAGCCTTAATGTCTTCTCATGACCTATTCTTGGGACTCTCGCCAGAAAAGGTTCTCAGACCTATTTTAGGAATATCCTGAGATTATAGTGTATTCGTAAAAATAAGTTCGTATTAGTGGGAAAACTTATCCGGCCATCTTTTGAAGCAAAGACTTTAAGATATACATCTCAAGAATTTAAGCCTAGGGAAGACGAACTTGAGGAAGACGTTCGGATATTTCCGTAAAAACTTTTCAGACCTTCGCTTTGAAGAGTAGTCTCTGAGGCCTACTGTAGTAAGAACCTTATTTGTCAATTCCTACTCCTTCCTCATAAAGACGACTGTAGGATTTTCTCAGAAAATATGATCAGACCTTCTTTCAGAATATCCTGAGGCTATAATACCTTATTAAAGAAAATTTTGGGATCTTACCGCGGAGACTTCTGAGATTTTTATTTTGAAGTATAGATTTTGAGATCTTCTCTATCAAGAATTTCAGGTCTTCTTAGGCTATAGATGAAGGTTTGAGACCTTAATGATGAACATCCAATTTTTCCATAGAAACCTTTCAGGCCAGCACTTTGAGTATCCACTGACTTTATAATTCGGAAGATAGATGTCTCTATAGTTCTCTCGTAGTAATTACCACTCTTCCTTCATATTCGACTACTTCTGCATATCTCGAAGGTCGACGAGTACTCATACTGAAGTCTTATAGAGATTCCTTCTTAAAGACCCTAAAGTCATTTCAGTTCTGTCTTTTTTTTTAAGGAAAGCCCTACTGATATTATCGAAAGATGTCATGCAAAGTTCTACGAATATACGCACAAAACCTCCACAGGCACTTACACCGAAGATCTGTGTAGAATGTCTAACAAATATCTCTATTTTTAATACAGAGTACCTGGAGGATTCGAGAACTACCAGAATTGTCGGAGACCCTTACACAAAATATGACGGGATTTTTTCCATGACATATAATTTCTATGTAGGTTTCCTTTGGCGCCCAAGAAATTGGGTCTAAAGTGTTTTTCAATTTCCAAAATAATTTTATTATTAAAAAATCCTCATGAACCTGCGGATGGATTACTTCGTCCTCAGGGCATGGTTAATACTGAATTTTTTTTTTCTCATGGATAAGGCGTATATTTTTTTAAAGAATATTTCTCAAGGCCTTAGACAAGGAGAAATAAATAAATCTTTCTCTGTACTAATCCATTTAAACGACTCCTTATATTTTAAATATATTTCTCTGTTTATTCTTCGAATAAATATCAACCTCATCATTTCCATATTTTCCCTTCAGTTTTTTTTAAATTATTTTAAAATTAACTACCAAGCAACCCACGCTACCGTTAATATACAAATAATTACTCCCGCACCCTTAACTCGGGCGAACTAAATAACTTTCCTTAAACATGTGGCACCGTTTTGCATTACCAGCAGCACACAATAACAAATAACTACAACAATAACAAAAACAACAACACCAAGAAGAAGTACATTACATTTGCCAACTTACCTGCGTACATTTGCTATATCGCCACGTTCCACAGCCAGCAGGAATTTCTTTTCTTCCATTTGTAATGGCTGCGGTAAACCGATTGGCAGACAACCATGTTTGATGGTTTCGGTAGAGGCAGCACCTGTATGGGGGGCGGCCACCTGTTTCCGGTTTAATGTGTGTGTGTATGTAAACAACAGCAGCCACACACACATAGGTGCACACACACCAGGCAGCACAAGGGAAATACCAGCCAGCCATCGTGGACAACAATGATATTCCACAACCAAGTCAGGATATCCCATCAAAAGCCGAATGTGTAATAAGATATGGCCACAAGTGTAGGGAATTAAAAAGACGGAAAGAAAAGGAAGAAAACAAGAAAAGAGAATGGGAGAGTGAGAAAAAAGAGAAGATGATAAAATCGTTTAAGTTCACACACACTTGAGTATTTTTTTTCGTTTTTGTACATATGTAAAAATATTTAATGTGTCAGTTATTTGGGTATTCATTTTTAACACTTTACGAATACTGAAGAGCTACTACCAGAAGTTTTTGGGATGATATCGAGCAATTGTTATGAGAGAGGTCTTCAGGTCTTCAATATGCAATGAAAGAAAGCCGAAACAAGCATGAATTACAAGCAAGTGCAATACTTATTCCATAAGTGATGTCAGGATATTCAATGGGGGATGTGTTTTTAGTGATATGGAAAATGGGAAAAATATTACAGTGGTGAGGAAGATAAATCTGGAATAAATTTAAATTTATTAAATAATAAATACATTTTTTCATTCTATACTTAATTCAGTGTAATTTTTTTTTTTAATTTAGACCCCAATTAGCCCAATTTTTCATTGAACCAGTACTTGAGTGCGTATACGTTACGACAACACTCATACGACCATATCACCAAATACTTTACTGTACATCTTTTCGATTGTTTGAATATCAAAATGTTTGTAATGTTTAAAGCGAAGGTTATAGAATTCTCTCATGCTCAGAGTATAACCATCCTATACAAAAATCCTGCCCATTTTTGGTTCCTTGAAAGCTTTAGCCGTTCCTTCCTATCTATACGACTGTAATTTAGGCTTTTCAGATTCTCAACTAATTTTTTGGTATTCTGAAAGTCCTCATCACATTTCCTAAATAAAGTGATGGTAAATTGACATTTTAGGTTCTGAGAGAGTAAATACCACCCGACAGAAATTTTCCAATGAAGTACCAGGTTCCGATATGGCAACAATTTAACGGCCTAGCCCTTGTCAATCGCTATCCCAAAAAAAGAGGTCTTGAAATATATACGCCTTACATGATGCATTAGACCTTGAATAATATTATTTAAAAACTCTACGCCTTTACTCATCGTGATGGGACAAGGGTGCGTATTGCTTATGTCCATACTTATACGCACATACGTCCCTCAAGTGCAGAATCTTTTAAACTTTTTCAGAAAATCATTCTAGCCCATAAGAATTTCATGTATTTACATTATCTATTAGCTATGAACTATGCAAACTACCTGAGCCCTCAGTTCACCTATAAAGCCTTCGGATCCTTCCATCTATTGAGACACCAACCAGCTCGTCTATGAGGCTACCTACGGCTCTAATGGAGACTGATATATCAGCTCGTCTATCTCAGCCTTATGTTTGTCTATAGAGAATCAATTAAGGTCCGCATAAGACTTAACCTCGTTTATAAAAACGGCTCAGAAAGACATCTGTTCGTCTATAGAGACTGTGTGGGCCTTCAGTTCGCCCATAGAGCCTGTATGGCATACAGGTCGCCTATAAAGGAGGTTTGAGCATTCAGTTCGCCTATTGAGCCTCCGTTCAGATCTATCTAAGCTTTCAGTTTGCCAATAGCTGTTCAGTAGAGGCTGTCTGATGATCCACTTTCCGGGCCTACTGTCTGAGCATCCAATTATACTTTAGAGACTTCATAAACCTTAAACCAGTTTAAAGAGACTGTATGAGCTTTCAGTTCGTCTATAGAGCATCACTTCGGGTCAGAATGAACCTTAACCTCCGTTTAGCCGGCTATCTGAACTTTCATTCGTCTATAGCAAATATCTGAGTCCTGAAATCGTCTCTGGACACTATCTGAACCTTATGTTTCCTTCAGTTATTCCACAGATATTGGATAGGCTCTTCCATTCGTCCAAAAGAGACTGAGCCTTCAGTTTACCTGAAGACATTTTATAGGTATTCAGGTCCTCTATAAAGACTATATAGGTTTTCAACAATCTCAGCCTTCAGCTCGTATACATAGTATTCCTTCAAATATGTCTACGCTTTCGGTTCGTCTATAGAAACTGTCTGAGTCTTCAGTTTAGTTATAGATAATGTTTGATCCTTCTACTTTTCTATAGGTCTGCAATGTCTATTGTCTATGTAGGTCTTTCTGGACTCTAAGTACGCCTACTGAGGCTGTCTAAACCTTCAGTTGTTCTCTAGACATTATCCGAGCCTTCAGTTCATTTTTTGAGCCTGGCTTCTGCTCTGTCTGTGTCTTCAGCTCTTCTTCTATCTAGGCCTTCCATTCCTTTATAGAGACTGTCTGAGCCTGTAAAGAATGTATGGATATTCAGGTCCTCTATAAAGACTATCTAGGTTCTCAGTTCGCCTATTGAGCTTCCCTATAGGTATGTTTAAACCTTCAGTTCTCTGTCGTTACTACCTGAGGCCTACGTTCATCCATAGAGGCTGCCTGAACCTTCAATTCGTCTATAAAAAACAATCCCAGCCTTCAGCTCGTATGCAGAGTATCCCTTCAAATCTGTCTGAACTTCCGACTCGTCTATAGAAACTGTCTGAGTCTTCAGTTTAGTTATGATAATTTTTGATCCTTCTACTTTTCTATAGGTCTACAATGTCAATTGTCTATGAAGGTCTTTCTGAGCTCTAAGTTCACATATTGAGGCTGTCTGAACCTTCATTTGCTCCATAGGTACTGTCGTAATCCTGGAATATTTTACAGAGACTGCCTGAGCCTTTAGATCAGCCTGAATCCCCATAATGTCCGTCTAAGTATTCAGCGCGTCAACAGTAACTGTCCGAGCCTTCAGTTCATCAATAGAGACTGCCTGATCCTTCAGTTCGTCTATGGAGACTCCCGTTAGGTTCGCATTTTCTCCATGGGTACTGTAGTCCCTATAGAATATTTTAAGGTTATCTTCTATAGAGAGAACACTACGATCGTCTACTGAGAGTATCTAAATCCTCAACTCAGTTCTAGATTGTGGGTTCTCAGTTCTACATTTAGTTCGTTTATAGTAAATTCTGGGACTTAAGCTAGTTTATAAATGCTCCCTTGCTCAGTCTGAGACCTGATGTTCTGAATAAAAAACTGCGGAGATGCCTTAAAAATATTCTTTAAACAAATCTATGCCTTGTCTAAGGTCTTAAAAAATATTATTTAAAAAATCGATGCCTTTCAAAGGCCTTAAAATATTCTTTAAAAAATCGATCTCGTTTCTAAGATTTTAAAAATTATTCTTTAAAATATCTACGCCTTGCTGAAGGCTTGAAAATATTCTTCAAAAAGTCTAAGCCTTGTCTAAGGCATTAAAAAATATTCTTCAAAAAGTCTAAGCCTTGTCTAAGGCATTAAAAAATATTCTTCAAAACCTCTACACCTTGTACTACGGTGCGTATTGCTTATGTCATTACTTATACGCACAAATGTCCCTTAAATGTAGAACCTTTTAAATTGTTACCGAAAATTATTGGTTTCCAAACCACTGTCTCTCCGCCTCAATATCTCATTAAGTCACTTTCCTTCTCACCTCACGAATTTTCTTACATTAATAAGCATTTTAACATGTAGTTATCAGATACTTTCCGCACCACCTCAACTACCAACCAAGCACCTCATCATCGTCAGCATTCACATCATTTATACAATCCCCATGCATCCAGCCATGAAAATATAAGAACCACTTTAAGATGAATACGAACAACAACAACAACAAGAAAACCTACAATTTAAATCCGATTTAAATACAAAAAAAATCCGACAGAAGAAGGGAAGAGTAGTACCTCCCACATTCCCACATAAGTGGAACACATAAAATTGTGTTAGCTGGAAAAATATAAAAAAGAGCACAAGCATTCCATTCTTTCTGTTAGCTATGGCTTCAGCTTCATAAATAAATCCACTCAAGTTTGCTACGTAGGTACTCATCTTCTTTAAATTATCATAATGTTATTTATGTTCTGAGTGCCGGGTGATAAACAATCATATGCGAAGAAAATGCTTGCCAGTTCTTCTGTCAGTCAGTCAGTCAGTCAGTCAGTCAGCGGGCCTATCCGCTTAGCTATGTAGCAATGCCTGTCTGCAATGATGTCTAGAAATAAATCTACAGATAATTAAATGAAAGAAATGTGAATTTGATTTTTTGTAGAAAATATCGAATAAAATTTTATGTGTAAGGAGATAAGGTTGAAGGAATTCAAATAGCAGCGGAATTGAAGATAAGAAATTTAAATTTATATTTTTCCGCATAGATAATATTATGAAATGTTTTTTACATAAAAATAGTCCAATTCAAATCAATATATTGAAATAAATAATGATAATTAAAACCAAAGGTACCACTAGGCATATACGTATGGGCATAACTAATACGCCAGTACGTCAGACGTATACATCATCGATAGGAAAAACATATAATTAAGCGAAAGACTTCGAATGTTTATATAGAATAACTGAAGACTCTGACAGTCTTTATATAAATTGAAGGTACAGACAGCCTCTGTAGAAAAGGTGAAAGCTTCGACAGACCTCTAGGAAGACCTTATAGGCAATATGAGAGCTCAGGTAGTTTCTATAGACAAAGTGAAGGTTCGGACAGTCACTTTGGGATAACTGAAGGCTCAGGCTTTTTTGTAGTGAAGTAAAAGGCTCAGACAGTCTCTGTAAAAAATCTGAAGGCTTAAACAGGCTAGCTTTGGGCTAAATCATGCATGAGAGGAGTCTCTATAGAAGAGCAGAATGTTTAGACCGTTTTAATAGACGAACCGAAGGCTCGCACAGTCTCTGTAGATGAGCTGATGACATGCTTGAATGTATACTTTATAGACAAGCTCAGACAGCCTCTCTAAGCTTTAGTGTCTGAAAGTCTCTGTAGATGACCTAAAGGCTCCAACCGTTCCTATATACGAGCTTAGGGCTCTATCAGGCATGAGGGGAGTCTCTAAAAAGGACAGGATGTACAGACCGTTTTAATAGAAGAAGTGAAGGCTCTCACAGATGAGAGCACCTATATTTTATTGATATATTTTATTGATATCCTGAATACTCAGTTTGTCTTTAGAAGAGCTTTAGGCTCAGACAGTCTCAATAGATGAAAATAAAACTCAGATAGACCTGAAGCGAAACTGTATAGGCGAGTTAAAGGCTCAGACCGTTTCTACAGATGAACTAAGGCTAAGACAGGCTCTATGGGTGAACTCAGAGTTCAGACAGCCTAAATAGAAGAGGTTCATGCAGGTATATATATAGAAAAAGTTCATGTAGTCTCAGTCCTTATAGTCGATCATAGGGCTCAATCAGAAATGACTGGAGGCTTGAAAGGAGACTATATATTTGAAGGCTCAGACAGTCTCTAGAAATTAGCTGGAAGCTCTGACAGACATGAAGGGAAACTATAGGCAAGTTGAAGGCTCAGACTTCCTTTATAGATGAGTCTCCATACAAGGACATAAAGCTCATATAATGTTTATAGAGGAAATGGTGGCTCTAAAAGTCAGTATAGACCAGCTGAAGGCTCCGACAGTCACTTTGAGCGAACTAATGGGCCGGGCAGTATCTACTGATGAGTTTAAGACTCATCTAGATCAGAGGGGACTCATCTAGATCAGTGGGCAAGTTGAAGGCTCAGACGGTTTCTATAGGTGAAGTAAAGACTCAGACAGCCTTTATAGAAGATCTTGGAGCTCAGACAAAACTGAATGGAGTCTGTACAGAAAAAATAATGCTCAAACAATCTCAATAGGCGTACTGAAGGCTATAAAAGTCAATATAGGCTAGCTGAAGGCTCCGACAGTCTCCAAAAGCGAGCTGAAAGCCCAGACAGTCTCGACATCCCATCTGAGCTGAAAGCCCAGACAGTCTCGACATCCAATCTGATGGCTCTAAAAGTCTTCATAGACAAGCTGAATGCTCCGACAGTCTCTATAAACGAACTGAAAGCCCAGACAGTCTCTACATCCAAGCTGAAGGGTCATACAGATATGAAGGGAGTCTGCACAAGTAGGATGAGCCTTCAACCTACTTATATACGAACTGAAGCCTTACACAGCCTCTGTGTAATAGCATAGAGGGTGTGTAGTCGTATATAGTGACTATCTGAGCCTTACCGCTAGAAGCACAAAAGAATAAGGCAGTTTCTATCACCAATTGAAGGATCAGGCAATATCTATAGTGGAGCTTAAGGCTCAGATAGTCTTCATAGAAGAACTGAAGGCTTAGACAGCCTCTGTAGAAGAACACAGACCCTTTCCGCAAATCATAAATACCATAGATAAAGGCTCCGACAGTCTCTATAAGCGAACTGAAAGCCCAGACAGTCTCTACATCCAAGATGAAGGGTCAAACAGATATCAAGGGAGTCTCTAATAGTAGGATGAACCTTCATCGTACTTATATGTGAACTGAAGCCTCACTCAGCCTGTGTAGAATAGCTTAGAGACTGTGTATTCGTCTATAGCGACTATCAGAGCCTTCCTGCTAGAAGCACAGAAGACTACGGCAGTTTCTATCACCAATTGAAGGATCAGACAATATCTATAGTAGAGCTTAAGGCTCAGACATTCTGTATAGAGGAACTGAAGGCTTAGACAACCTCTGTACAACAACTCAAACCCTTTCCACTGATCCCGTTTATTAATATTTTCTAAGTACTTTAATGTCGAAATCAACAAAATAGCCACGCGAACGAAATCTAATAAAAATATTTTTTTATTCTTTTATTTAAATCTGTATCAAAAGATTTATTTACACCAATAATCGACAAAGACTAATTAAAGTTTAAAAATGACCATCGAAAAAAATCCTGCTATTACACAAATTCCAATGTTATCAATAATTTGTTGCGCAAGAAATTGACATTTTTTAAACCCTTTATTGCCATTCTGGGGATTTATCCAATTATTTTAGTTATTTTTCCAATTGATTGATTTGTTTTAATGAATTAAATATTAAGCGACTTCTATCACTGGTCTGGCGGAAAGTGATGAACGCATTTGGCATATTTTGCAAAAATTTAATTTTTGCAATTAAATGAAAATAAAGTGAAAATAACACTTGAAAAGTTCCGCACTTGAAAAGGGAAAATGTAATTATTTGCAACTAACTAAAATTGAGGAAAGGAAAGGGAGAGCGTATAAGTGCTGGCAGTAATCATACGCACTATAGTGCAAGGGGAAAAGGGAGCGTATACGTGTGGACACTACTCATGCGCACCCTATGTGGGGGGTGAAACAGGACAGGTGAATTATTTTGTTATTTAAATTGTTATAAAACTTGTTTTTTCTGCTTCAAAAATTCCACAAATCATAAATACCATGAAATCTGCCATTTAAAAAAAAAATCTACAACTACTTCTACAAAACTATTTCAAAAACTCATTGAACATTTTTTTAGGGCCACTAAAACGTTTACGAAACTTCAACTTTACAATTTACAATAACAAAATTTTTATACATTTTTTTCTAGTTGCTACACAATAATAAAAAATATTTTTACATGTTCACAAAAAATGTGTGTTGTTGTCGTTGTGGGGTTTTGGCATTACTTACACCTTTTTGATCTTTACGGTTTAGTAGAACCATTTTTTTGCTGTTCTTGTTGTCGTTGAGAATGAAAACTTAAAATTTCATAGAACTGCTCCAAAATGTCACAGAAGTTTGCTGTTTGAATTTCTAGTTTGGGCAGCTTGGAGATCAAAAAACTTTGTTTCAAATCACCAAACCAACAAAAAAAATCACACAAGAAAGCAACACATTTGGCCATCCGGTTTTTTGGCAAACGGAAGTCTGCCTTTGAATTGTTTTGCTTTTTATTTCCGCATAAAAATGGTCCGCAGTTAAAATGTCACCTGGTTTCCGTTTTGGAGATGTTCGACAGACGGCGTGCGATTGTTTTTTGTTTAGTTGTCTGTATTTGCAAAATCCTTTGGCAACAATGTTTGGAGAGTTTTCTCTTTTTTCCCCCGCTTGGCGAAAATTATTTTGTCTGTTTTGTAGCCAAACTCACATTTGAAAACCTTTGTTTATTGTTATTTTTCTAGTGGCACTTTCATTGGATTTTCATGACACTGTTTTTGTAGCACAATGTAAATATTTGGTATTAATTTTTTAGCTCTTTGGTTTTTGTTACTTTGTAGATTTTTTCTGGGTGGTATAGTTAAAATGCATGGGTCCGTTGCTTTAAATAATGAAAATTTGCGGTAATTTAGTGAGATTATTGAATTTAATGAAAACGTGTAACATGTGGCGTATGACTATTGACCGGTGAAATATTACTTATACGTGGGGTTGGACGATTTTGAAATGCGAGGACAAGACTTCATAGTCATAGGTGTACTAAAACATCAGACAATATATATAGACTCAGACAGACCTAAAGTTAGATTCTGTAGGCAAGCTGAAGACTCGGACAGTTTCTATAGACGATCTAAAGACTAATAAAATATGTATAGATGAGCTAAAGGTTTAGGCTATCTCCCTAGACAAATTAAAGGCTTATATATACGAGCTGAGGGCTCCGACAAAAGTGAAATAAGTATCTATAGCATCTATAGAATGAAGTATATAGCTGAGCTGAAGGCTCCGACAGTTTCTAAAGACGAACTGAAGTCTCAAACCACCTCTATAATACATGACAGCCTCTATTGATGAAGTGCTAGTTCGGATAGTTTCTATTAGCAAGTTGGCGGCTTAGACAATCTCTACAGATGAAATGTAGGCTCAGACAGGCCTAAGGGAAGACTTTATAGACGAGCTGAAAGCTCTGATAGTGTTTATAGATAAACTGAAGGCTCAGGTAGTCTCTATAGGCGAAATTGAGTCTCTTTAGACGAGCTGATGGCGCAGATAGTCTCTATAGACGAACTGGATGCTCAGACAACTTCTATAGAATAGCTTAAGGATCTGACGAGCTGAGGGCTCCGACAAAAGTGAAATAAGTATCTATAGCATCTATAGAATGAAGTATATAGCTGAGCTGAAGGCTCCGACATTTTCTAAAGACCAACTGAAGTCGCAAACCACCTCTATAATACATGACAGCCTCTATCGATGAAGTACTAGTTCGGATAGTTTCTATTAGCAAGTTGGCGGCTTAGACAATCTCTACAGATGAAATCTAGGCTCAGACAGGCGTAAGGGAAGACTTTACAGACGAGCTGAAAGCTCTGATAGTTTCTATAGATAAACTGATGGCTCAGGTAGTCTCTATAGGCGAAATTAAGTCTCTTTAGACGAGCTGGTGCAGTAGATAGTCTCTATAGACGAACTGGATACTCAGACAACCTCTATAGAATAGCTTAAGGATCTGACAGTTTCTGTAGATGAACTGTAGGCTCAGTAAGTCTCTGAAGATGAATTGAAGGCTCAGACGGATCGGAAGGGCGACTCTATAGGCGAGCTGAAAGCTGAGACAGACTCTTTAGAAGAGATTAAGCCTCCGAAATCTCTGTAAATTAACTGAAGGCTCATACAGATCTAAAGGGAGTCAATATAAGCGAACTGAAGGCTCAGACAGTTTCTACAATCGAGATGCGGACTAACACAGACCTAAAGGTTTAGATAGAGAGATTAAGGCTCGGACGGTCTTCATAGATGAGGATTTTTTAGAAAAAAATTTGTAAGGCCTAAAGGACTTAGACAATGACATGGCGTGCATTTGTTAAAAAATATTTTTTCAAAGGCTCAAACAGGTGTAATTTTTTATAGACATTTTTTGAAGATTTCTGACAGGCCTGGATTTTTTAAAGAATAATTTTCAAGGACTAGAATTGTTTCTGGGTCTCAAACAGACGTGGATTTTTAAAGAATATTTTTTTCGAAGAATATTTTTCCAAGGACTCAAACAGACGTGGATTTTTTAATATTTTAAGGTCCACCCTGTTGTCTGTTCAATAATATTTTCAACGCGGTGCAGATACCATGAATTTTAAATAAAATTATTTTTAAGTCCACACTAATTACAGGACCTACCGAGCCGCGGATTGTCTGTTAAAAGTAGAGGCTTCTGATTAGTTTCTAAGTTTCTTCTTACGTTTTTAAAACATATTTTTTATGCTATGTCGAGCATTGAATTCTTGGGGTTTTTGAGAATATTTTCAAGGCTACGCTGAGCATTTTTGTTATGGTACCGAAGGGTCAATTTTTTTCTTCATTTATATTTTATTATTATTATTTTTATTTCCACTTCATTTTATTATTTTTCTTCTCTATTTTTATTCACTTTTCTTATTATTTGTCCCCTTTTTCTTTCCAAAATAAGAAACAAAATATTTTTTTAATATACACTAGAGATATTGTTCGTTATTCCGTTGTGGGCGCTTTTAAATCTACACGAAAACTGTCCGAAACAACAGGGCAGACAAACACACACCAAAATTCAGATATTGGCGATCGCTAGTTCCACTCAGCTGGATATGGAGCCAAAATAATTTTTAATTGAAAGAAAAGAACAAAAACACAATCAATTATATTTTCGAAATTTTTCATTTTTCTTTTAAGATTTTTGTTTTTTACTTTTCAATTTTTTTTTCAATTACAAACCAAAATAAGAAATAATAATAATGAATGGCAGGAAGAAAAAGAAATAAATATTTCATTTTCCATTGAGCCAGCCACAAAAATAAATAATTTTTGCTTTCAATATTTTATGGCTGTTGTTCACACTTAAGAGATGGAATTCCAAAATATCTTCCATCAAGAGTGATAAACAAAATTCAGTGATGGCCGAAAGTGCACAAGATGGAATGACACAGAAAAGAAGTGGAATGATTTTTTTTGTATTTTGAATATAATAAATATTGGCAGCTACCACACAAAATTGAAAAAAGAGAGCTTTCAATTTGGCAAACTCAAAAATTTGTTACATCGACAATTTTTTGTTAATTATGGGATATATATATTCAAGATATAAATATATATTGTACGTACATATTTATATTTTTGTTGTCTTTAATTTTCATATTTTATTTTAATTGTTTATTTGAAAATGGGATATTATTATTATTTTTTCCAATTTTTTTTCTTTGGTGTTTCTAATTTTTATTTTAATAATTGTTTATTTTTTCTTTGGCTTTTTGGAAATTGTTTTGTGTTTTTATTTCTTCTTTTCTTGTTTATTGATTATCAAAATATTTGTGTGTTTAAAACAATAATTAAACATTTTCAGTAATTAAATGTAATTGTAATGTTTGCAATAATTTGATGCAAGAGCGATGTGGTTTTTTTGTAAACAATTTTTTGAAGAATTAACCCTTAAGGAGCTCCAAAAATTATTGCATTATAAATTAAGAAAACAACAAGGATATGAAAAATTAATCTAAATTATTATTTTGGAAAATATGTCTTTAATATTATGCATGTTTTTGATGAATTTTTTTAAAATCATATATTAACTTTTTGGCACTTAATGGGTTAACAATATTGGCCTTAGGTTATTAAATCATTTGTTTGTTAACATAATAAACAACAATTCATTTTGAAATATTACAAATGTAGCCATCATCTTGATGTGGCAGACCAACAATTAAAATTGATTGCCTTCTAAGAATTGAAAATCAACAAAAAATTAAGGACTTCAAGGTCGACACTTCAGAAACCTTCCAGCAAATACTGTTGTTTTTATCAACAGAAAAATATGTAGAGAGGAACTTCAAAGCTACTAAAATAAATCCCGATTCTAATATGGGGACTATATGAGATCATAAAGGTTTTGTACAATTTTATTTTTATACCCTTCACCACACTGTGGTACAGGGTATTATGTCTTTGTGCATATGTTTGTAACAGGCAAAAGGAAACGAGATAGACCAATAGTTCCTTTTGAGAATATGCATAGAATCACTTTCTGAGTCGATTTATGCCTGTCCGTCCGTCCGTCTGTTGGTGTTAAATTGTAAACAAAGTACAGGTCGCATTTATAATCCGATTTGGATGAAATTTGGCACAGCTCATTTGTTTGGCCCAAGGATGAACCCTATAGAAATTGGAAAAAATCGGTTGAGATTTAGATATAGCTCCCATATATATTTTCGTCCGATTTAAGGTAAATGGTACACCAAAGATTTTAATATCTTTCGATTTGCACGAATTTTGGTATAACGTACTGAATTGAGCCTTAAGTGATGTTTGCCATGTTTCGTGAAAATCGGTCCAGATTTAGATGTAGCTCCCTTATATTATAGATTGATTTTAAGTAATAAATAAAATATTCTCAAGGATTTCCTGAGCATCAGACAAAAAATGAAAGGTATCTGTAAGGTCTATTATAAAAAGAAATAAATGTTCAAGGTTATCCGGGGACTTGGCAAAAATTTTAGAGAAACTTTCTATAAGAAATCACAATCTAATTTTTAGAAACCTTAAATCAGTCACTTTTAGCTTTTATAAAAACAAATTAACCCGACTATGACCTATTTGGAGACCTCCTTGCTCTCTGCAATTGCATATGTAATTTTTATTTTATGTCTACAGCAACAATTGATGGCTATGCTAAGCCGCCCTGGCTCGGATTTTTCATCTATTTAGAACAATTTTATTCTATTAGAAAAAATTCAGAGGAAACTGTGCTCTCTATATTTTCATTAGAAAAAAAAT